ACTGCAAATACCAGTTTTCCTAATCAGTTGACTTTTATAAATTTTATATATCAGTGAAAATGGTAGTTTCAAGAGAGGCTACATAAAGATGAGCATTTACCTTATTCAGTGCTATTAGCAGTGGAAATCGCATGTTGTTAATGTGCTTTACATACAAAGTAAAAAAACAAGAAGACTGGTCTCAGTCCCAATGAGCTTGCGGTCTAAAATCTGGCAAAGGAGGAAGGGGAGGAAAGTGGAGATGGGGAAAACGCACGGCCAGGCAGGGCAGGGCAAGCTCCTAAGTGTCCTCTCCCGTCCGGCAGAGCCCGTTCATCCCCTTGGTACACACCTGAATTACGGGCGATGAAGCGGGTTGGGAGACATCTAGAGCGTATGCGGAGGAAATCATGGGATGAATCTGACCGAACACACTTAGGAGCTCATTATCGAGCCTATGCTGTGGTGGTGAGGGCAGTGAAGAAGAAATTCTTCTCCACTTCCATTGCCTCCTCACAGTGCAGTCCAGCGGAGCTCTTTTGGGTGGTACAGGGGCTGGTACTTCCAGGCCCTAAGAAAGATCCCGTACCTCCCTCGATGGCCCACTGTGACAACTTTGCCCAGCACTTTAAGGAGAAAATGGCTCAGATTCGTCACAAGCTGGACTGCACTAGGTGATTAAGATGCTCTAGGGGAGGTGCCAATGTCTTCATCTGGTCAGATATTATTGGATGAATTTCAGTTATTGTGGTCTGATGATGTGGACAAGGTGCTTGGACAAGTATGTCCCACCACCTGTTTACTTGACCCTTGCCCATCGTGGCTACTGACCAAAGCCAAACACGGGATTGATGCCTGGATTCTGGAGGTCCTCAACGTCTCTCTGAGGGACGGCCGGGTGCCTGCCCCTCTAAAGGAGGTGGTAGTCAGGCTGGTCCTAAAGAAGGCATCCCTGGATCCAGAGATGGCCGCCAATTACGGACATTGGCCAACATCCTGTTTCTGGGCAAGGTGCTGGAACGGGTGGTGGCGGGACAACTCCAAGCACTCTTGGATGAGACTGGACCCATTTTAGGGACCCATTTCAGTCCGACTTCAGACCCAGGTATGGTACTGAGTCTGCCTTGGTCGCCCTATATGATGACCTGTGCAGGGAGAGAGACAGGGGGAGTGCGTCCCTGTTGGTCCTCCTGGACCTCTCAGTGGCTTTCGATACCATCGACCATGGTATCCTTCTGGATAGGCTAGCAGGACTGGGAGTCGGAGGCACTGCTTGGCAGTGGTTCTGCTCCTACCTCAATGGCCGATTCCAGAAGGTGGTGCTGGGGGACTTTGGCTCTGCGCCATGGCAGCTATGCCATGGAGTACTGCTGGGGTCCATTTTGTCCCCCTTGCTATTCAACATCTACATGAAACCGCTGGGAGAGGTCATCAGGAGGTGTGGGCTGCGGAATCATCAGTATGCTGATGATACCCAGCCCTGCCTCTCTTTTTCAACCAATCCAGGTGAGGCAGTGGCTGTACTGAACCGGTGCCTGGCCGAGGTAATGGGCTGGATGAGGGCCAATAAACTGAAGCTCAATCCAGACAAGATGGAGGTCCTGTTGGTGGGTGGTTCAAGCTCCTGGGTAGGTGACTTGGACCTTGCCCTGAATGGGGTAGCACTCCCTCTGAAGGACAGGGTCCGCAGCTTGGGAGTGCTCCTTGACCCAGAGCTGTCTTTGGAAGCTCGGGTGACTGCGGTGGTGAGGAGCGCTTTCCTTCAGCTTCGGTTGATCCATCAGCTGCTTCCCTACCTGGAGGACAACTGCCTAGCAACAGTGACACATGCATTGGTTACTTCCTGACTGGATTTCTGTAACGCGCTCTACGTGGGGCTGCCCTTGAAGACAGTCCAGATACTTCAGATGGTGCAAAATAGAGCAGGTTGCTGATGGGGACTGGGCGTTACTCTCACATAACCCCAGTCCTCTACCTGCTTCACTGGCTCCTCATCGAAGTCCGGGCTCAATTCAAGGAGCTGGTCATCACCTATAAAGCCCTTAATGGCTTGGGACCTGGATACCTAAAGGAACGCCTTCTTCCATATTTGCCCTCCCGCCCCCCGAGATCAACAGCAGAGGCCCTCCTCTGGGAACTCTCCGTGAAAGACATTAGGAGGCTAAGTACCTGAAGCAGGGCTTTCTCTGCGGTGGCACCTCAACTATGGAATGCGCTCCCCAGAGAGGTCCACCTAGCGCCGTCGTTATTTGTTTTTTGGCGCCAGGCTAAGACCTTTTTATTTAAACAATATTTTAACAATTTTTAATATCACCTATAGGTTTTTAATTTACAGCCAGGGTGAATCTGGATTTTAATTTGCACTATTTGTATTTATTGTTTATTTACTGCATAAGCCGTCCCGAGGTTCTTGCGACGGGACGGGATACAAGAATTCTAAATAATTAAATAAAAGCTCCGACCCTCAGAGAGCTCTCTTCTGAGCTATGGAACTTTTCTAGATTCCGCCAGGGAGCAGGGTTTGGTCCCTCTTCCTGGAAGAAGTCCTTCCTTGTTTTCTGATTACCAACTGCAGATAATACTGGCACAGCCCCACAGTGCTTTCCCGCTTGGGCTGCTGCTGCACGGTCGCCTGCGCAACACCACTCAAACACCTCCGTTCGGCCCTGAAGCTTGGAAGGCAGCAGCCCCCCCACCCCCCGGTGTTCAACTCCAGGCGCTGGTCCCCAGGAGGATTCAGTGTCTGACCATGCAGAATCCTTCACAGTTTTGGCCCCCCATAGCCCCACCCCTGCTCCACAGGGTTTTTACCTGAGGGCAGAGGTAGAATATTTGGTGTCAGCATATGGGTGAGAGAGGGGTCTGCTCTCTCCCTGCTGGAGAGGCACAGTAAAGTTCTTGTCTTGCTTGCCAGCCAAGGTGTCCTCTGGGCCAACACAAATCTCGCAAGGCACAGTCTAGAAAAAGGACAAGCGGAGGTTTATAAAGGGATGCATAGTTTGAAGGAAGTAGATGGAGGGGCATCCTCCACCCTCACATACTCCTTTAAAACTAGAAATTTAAGTCGTCCAGATTGATCTGTTGCTGTAGAGTGGCATGACAGGAGCCCTTCCCCGCATTGCCGTGGTCTGTACCCACATGCAAGCACACCCCACCCCTCCCCGCCCCTTCATGGCACATGTGGCCCTACCACCCCCGGTGCAGGACCGGCACTTTCTGCCAAGGGCTGCCTTCTGCCCGCAGCAAGGCACAGAGGCTCCAGGGTGGGCTCCTGTTCCAGGATGAAGTGTGTGTGCCCTGCTGGGCAGACTCTCCCATCTGGGCATTTGCCTGGGCAGTCTGGCAGACTGCGGGGGGGGGGGGTGTGGACAGCACAGCATGCTGAAATTTCTTAGTGATGTCAGGGATAAGTTAGGTGCGGTGGGGAGTGTGGGAACCATGGCTCTTCAGGGCAGTCATCTGGATGGTGATGCCTGTGCCCAGCCCATGTGTTCCTCATGCGCAAGGCTGCCTTCACACGAGGAGACCGCTGGTTTCTGCAGCAGTTCAAGCTCGCTGCTATTTCTAAGGGCTACTCCAGCAAAATGTAGCAACCATACTGGAGAGCTCAGCATGTCTGTCCTCACCGTTGCTCCTGCTGAGGCCATGCATCATGATGCCCACTGCCACTGAAGAGCCTAACACTGGGCAGAGAGGAAAAGCAGGACAATGCAGCCAATCAGGCACAGCAGGCATGGCACAGCTGTTGTTGGGCTGAATAGAGCAGTGGAAAGTGCAGGCTGGAGGATCTGCTACAGCTGCTCTTGCTGCAAAACTCTATGGCAGAAGCCTGGAAGCTGCGCAGAAACATGACAGCTCAACTCAGGCAGGCAAATAAGCACAGCGAAGCACAGAAACTTTACAGCAAGCTGTTGTCTCTCTGCATGGTTCCATGGAGACCACTTGTACACACCATGCATGTTGGGTTCAGATGTAACAAGAGACATTGCTACTATTCATTGTGTTTTACTGTTCTGCCACCCATCCAGGTTTCAGCCACATCCAACCATGCTTAGGTTCCAAGATTAGGCAGGATTAGAAAGAAGTACCTCCACTGTGTCTATTATAGCTTGTTGTTAATGTGAGCTTGCCCAGAGTCTCCTGTGCTGCCTTTTTTTGACAAAGGCCTAAGGAGGACTGGACAGCAGCACAGTTAATGGATCTGCTGCTGGTCGAACAGCAATACTCAGCAAGTGTTCCTTAATGGTTCTGCATCAGCCTGAAAGTTCTGAAGGCCTGCAGCTTCTCTGGGCTTCTTGCATGAGGAAGATGAATGTGGATGAGCAACTTTGGCTAATGGCCAGGAAAGAAATCTAATGAATCAATAGCATATGGGGCTGGATGTACAGGGAGCAGAACCCATGTGGTCAGTTGTGGGGAGAGCCTCCATAGATACAGAAAGTCTGCTGCTACAGAAGTTCACCATCATGGGGAGAGCTATCGTGTTTTTCCCAGTGAGGACTACTTTCACTAATGGGCTCTACTAGTAGAAAAGTGGCTGAGGGGTAGAAGGAGTCCTTTTGTGGAGTGCAGGGAAGGTTTTGCGCTCCCTGTGCTATGAAACTCATAGCATGTGATCCTAGCCCAGAAGTTATGCCTCATGTTGTCTGCCGGAGTGAGTTCCTGGAGAAAACCAAGTATAGGACATGTCTGTCACTCTGCCAGGAGACAGACCAGCAGACCAGCTTGAAGGTTCTGGGCTTGGGAGGACATCAGTGCTGCCTCTTCACCCACTGAGAGGCCACCCATCCCAGGCAAGCAACATTGCATCTGAATTGAGGCAGTGATGCTGACAGAAGGACATGCCCCCTCTGTGTGTTTGTGTGTGGTGCACAAAGCTTTGGTCTCCCTGTCTCCGGAAGCCGGTCAGAATTCGTGCCAGCCACAGACTGCTGAGCTTTCTGGAGCATTCTTTGACTGGGCACCCAAGGAACACCAAACTCATAGAGTGGCTAACCTGCCCTGTCTCACCCTCTTTCTAGTGTGGACCTTGTCCATGCCCAGATCCACATCTCCGAGGGCAAGAGTCTTCCAGAGCTTGGGCTCAAACAGGACAATGTGCGGATCAACGGGTGTGCCATTCAGTGTCGTGTGACCACAGAGGATCCTGCTCGTGGGTTCCAGCCTGACACGGGCCGGATTGAGGTAGGCATGTCCAGTTCCCATGCTCCAATCCATCTGCCTCAAAGATATTTTATTCCTGGTCCAGTGATCTTCTGTGAGCAGCCCCCCAGCACTCTGTGGTCGCTGCTGGGGAGGGGCTGGTTTCGTTCCTGTTCAGTGCTGGCCTATGTTTGACCACCGGGGGCAGGGGGAGCTAGTGGGGTGCCTGAAATTTTGCCATCTTCTTATGCTGCTACTTTGAAATTCTTAAATGACGTAAGTCTGTTCAAGCATAAATGGTCAAATAATGAGTGTAGGAAAGTAAAACAAGTTACCCTCTTCTGAAATCTCAAAGCAAAATGTTGACCACAGAGACAAAAGGATTTGGAGTCCTGATAACATTTTAGCTTTTACCTACAAATTGACAAACAACCATTTTTGATGTCTGAATATGTCAGCATGTCTGCATTTTTCTCAGCACTGCACAGCAAACACACTCCAGCACTTTTAGTGATTTGGTTTCTTGCACAGAGGTGTAGGGTTGAGCCTAACCCTCACCCTCTCATTTCAGTGAGAGGTTGCAGATGGAAGCAGACATGGCTGCACCCTCCCATTTTTGCTTTTCATCTCCGTGTAAGGTCAAGTAAACACAAATGCCACAGGGCGTGGTTTTCCCAGCTCCTGCTGCACTTTGATGACTGCTGAGAGAGTCACAGATGCTCATGGCACAATGAGTCAGGCAATTGTGAAACAGGAGCAAGAGGGGATGTTGTGGCCACATCCTGCTTCTCCAGACATGTCTAGTTGGCCCCTGAGAAGCGAGGCTCTGTTTGCCCAGTGTGGCCTGATTCCAGGGCTGTTTGTCCATTCTCCCAAGCCCTGTCCATTCTTCCTCTCCAAACATGCAAGCATTTCTTCAATACACCCTGAGGCTGAGTTTGAATTTGGAAGGAAGGATGGATGGATGGAATGAGCAGCTGATGAATAAGCTTCCCTGAGGGCTGGGGAACTATGACAGGTCTGCTGAGTTTACCTTGACTCCCTTTTCAAGGTACTGAAAGACTTTTCAAAGTCCTCCTCCTCCTCTCCTTCCATCCTGAGAGTTCTTTTTCGTGGTTTCTGTGCATCACACACACACATGAGCTTCACCTTCAGCACAAGGCCTAGATTTTATTTGTTTGTTTGTTTGTTTGTTTGTTTGTTTAAAACATTTCTATGCCGCCCCCATAGCAACTTAGTGTTACAAAGTGGGTGGGAGCCATCTGCCTCCTTCCGATTCCTGGTGATAAAAAGAGGGGTCTTGCCCAGTCCCTCAGTCCCCATCCATTTGTTTCATTCATTAATTCATTCACATTTTTGTAGGCCTCCTAAAACCTCCAAAAGGCCTTCCTAGGCGGTTTATGCGCATCACCTAGATTAGAATTGCTTCAATTTCTGCACTCACGCAACTATTATCCTTTTTCTTTGTTTCTTGTTCTATAAATAAATTATATATAGGATTCTTCTTCTCTGGGTTTTTTCCCCACCTTCTCTTTCTCCTTCCCTCTCTTTTTCTCCTGTGATGGCTTCCGATCCAGCATTTCGCAGCTGCACCTCACGTGCAGCCCACCTGCCCTCAGCAGGCAACTACTCCCCCTGTCTCCCCTGCCTTGGTGAAGGGCACATGGTAGAAACAGGCCTTCAAGACACAGACATGCTGGCAGCGGGCAGAACGCTTCCAACCAGTACTCTGCCACTGGGCCTTCTATGTGGCCAAGTCCTCTAAGCTGGACTTGGAGAGCCCTCCATCTCCACGGGTCGCAAGACCATGAGACAAAGGAAGAAGCCTAAGAAAATGGTTACCCTCTTGACTGAGGAGAGACCTGTGGTGGCCAAGATTGCCGCTGGGCCCAAGGGATGGCACTGGACAATTTTGTCCACCCAACCAATGCTCCCCAGCCCTTGACGCCCTCCCCGCACACACACCGAACCCCAGGGCTCTGTGACCAGGACTCCTGCCATCCTTGAGATGGACTCATTGGGCCCCCACACCTGCTCGTGGGCAAGAGACCCTTCTCCCACGTGCGAGTTGCCACCACTGACACCCGCAATCCGAGGCAGTGCATCCCCACTCCACTGCATGCCCTTCCTCCAGAATGTCCACTGCCCCTGGTCTCCAGCTGCAGCCAGGCCCCCATGAGACACTGGGGCCTCACCTTGTTCTCCCCTCCCCTTGGTTGGGACTGCAAGTCCGAGCAGTCTCTGTCTGCCCCCTACCCTGAAGAGCTGTGGCAGCTTCAGACTCTTGGCCAGCCCTACTGCTGCTGCTGCTGCACCCCACTGAGGACCGTGTCACGGGGACACAGAGGCCTCTGGCTCTTCTGCTGGGGATTTCCGTGCGGGCGGCTGCCAGGCCAGGCCAGACACTCTGTGGCAGCAGCACTGTGACAGTGGCTGCACCTGGAGCCTCCCAGCCTCGCCTCACGCGGGCCTCGCAAGGATGCCACTCACTGCCACTGTGGGTCACTGGCTGCCTTCAGAGCACACTGCCAGCCCCACATGTGTGTCCTTTTGAAGTCGGGTCCACGCCAACTTTACGCCCTGTAATGGCGAGCGACCGCTACGCTGCCCCACAGTTGGCCAGCACCATGCTGAGGCCTGCACCGGTGCAACCTCTCCTGAGCACTGCCCCTCGAAGCCAGTGACAGCAGTCCTGATGCCAGCGCCCTGGCAACAACTGCAGCCGCCAGCTGCCACCACTGACACAGTGCTGGGCCCAACTGAGGCCACCCCGACATACTTGGCCACACTCCAGGGGCCCGCACCCGCCTCTCAGGCAGCCCCTGACAGCCAGCCTCCCACTGGTCACCAGCTGCTTGGCAGGAGCTCCTGCTACCCAGCCGCCACCACTCACCCTCCACTGAGTCAGGTTAGTCCTACGCCTCTGTTTGCGAGTCCGTCTGACTGCTCTCCCCGGCCCTCTCGGCACCACCCCTGTGCCACAGCCCACAACCAGGATCCAGCTTCTTCCTCTGAGGAGAAGGGAAGATTCAGCAACCGGGAGCTCCAGGCAACTCAGCTGACAGAACAAGAGGCTGAGCCTGCCCTGGGCATGGAGACATTGCTCCAATCACCACTCCCTTCCTGCCAGCCTGCAGCAAACAGCGCAACAGTCCTGGAAGTGCCCTGCTGCCCCGCTGTCCACCTGGGGGAAGACTGAATCCACCTGGTGGGTGACAGCAAGGCCGTGCCATTCCTCCACCAGCACCCTGGGCCTAACTCTGTGATTGTGAAATCAATGCAGGGTGCCTCCCAACAAGAACACACAGCACCAGTCAACAGAGAAGGGCAACACCGTGATGGCCCCACCAGGCAGGTCTGCATGGCTGCCTTGCTGGTGTCCAGGTATCCAACTAGGAAGTCACCATGGGCAGGGATCAGCTCCTCCTGTGGGAGAAGATGGGGTCCATGGTCGAATACCTCCCAGATGACCTTTCTTAGAATCAGAAGAAGCGTTGTAAGTGGGTAGCATGTTAGTCAAAACTTTTTCTCTGGGTCCAAAGTATAAAGAACAGTGAAAGATAGAATGCAAGAGGCTGTCCACTTCATGTGATCCACAGATAAAGACACACCTTTCCATTGGAATATGAGAATAATGATCAGATAAGAGGGCTGTATACATGGTTTGGAAACAAGTCTATGATTAGGGATGCTAACTAAGTAATTATATCTTAAATGGTCATGTTTAAATCATTTAAACCAAGGAGCAGCCTTGGAATTCAGAATTGAAAGTCAGTTGATTAGCACATCTGAGTGATATATCCAGTCCCAAAGATGGAAATTATCAACTGTAGCAGCTAGGAGATCACAGAGGATGGAATATCTATCAGTGATGGAATTAAAAAAAAAAACCTGGGTTGTTTTGGTTCTTTTGATAATAACAGATTGAATGATTTATGTCCTAATTAATTGAGGCTGGGGGAGCTGCTCCTGGCCCGATACTTTATTATAGCAAGATTTGCACGAGCCCTAAGCCCTTAACGGAGCAGCTGGGGTACTCCTGGGTAGGACAAGTTACTGCCTTAGAAAAAATGTTTGAAATTACCTCTGCATATCCTTTTCCATCTGCATACTTCAATTCCATATAAGAGGAGGGGAATTACCTTGGTCTTAAATAATTTCAGTGCAGGGTCTATCAAGCATCCATTCTTAGGGTTCACAAAGTGCAAGATAGCTCCTATAACCCTAAGTGCTGAGGTTCTGACTGTTTCCAGATGGAGTTTCCTATTTAGGGTGTCCCTAAAAGTGACTCCCAGGTATTTAAAAAACGGTCATTGCTTTACTGGATTACCAAGGATGCTCCAAGATGAAGTTTTGGGTTCTTTCCTGAAGACGATTACTTTGGTCTTAGCATAATTTATATTAAGATCTTCATATTTACAATAGTATCCTAATTGCTGTAAAAGACCAATTTTAGTTTGGGAAATCAGAACCATGTAATCAGCATATAATAAAATTGAAGTTTTTAATTGACCCAATGATGGAAGTGTAAATTGTGGTCCCAATAAACTCACTATGATGTTATTTATAGAGAGATTAAAAAATCAGCCCACACCCCTGCTTCATGCCTTTTCTGATAGGATTTTTTTTTTGGTTAAGGAACTGGAGGTTCCCACCCTGATTTGTGCAACCATGTCTCTATGGATCTGTTGGAGGAGAGAAAGAAATCTTTTATCTATGTTTATAGCAGCAAGCTTAGACCATAGGCATGGCATATTGATAGAATCAAATGCAGGTTCCAGGTGGACGAACACAACATAGTGTGCCTTTTTGTGCCCATTAATGCCAAAACGGGCCAGTTGATGCAGTGTTGGCAGTGGTCAATGGTTTCAAGGCCTTTCTGAAACCCGCTTGTGCTGGGTGTAGAATATGCTCCGTATCCACCCAGTCTTCCAATTTTAACAGCAGATATTTACTATAAGTTTTGCTGGAATACCAAGTAAACTTACTGGTCTATAATTTTGTCAGTCCCATTCTGTCCCCTTTTTATGAATAGGAACTGC